TTCATGCTAAATATGTTATATTCATTGTTTTGATTTTTGGGTTGAAATATGGACATGGACCTTTCTTGGCAGTTTTTGTGAGATTTAAGAGATTTAAAATATCTGGGATTTGTTTGTATTTTGAGCTTTTCTCTTCTTCTGAATTTCATTAGCTGTGCGGCTCTATCAGGGTGCTGATCGCTTGAAGGACCAGACATTCTTTCTCAGTCAGATTTCCCAGGATGCTCTGCGACACACAATATTTCCCCTAGCTGGGCTAACCAAAGACTTTGTGAAGAAAATAGCTGCTGAAGCTGGCTTCCAGCATGTTCTAAAGAAAAAAGAGGTACTAAATGAAGTCTTTTATACAAGACCCAAGATTTCTGGCACAAGAAATGTGACACTTAGTAGTGCTCAGTATTTTAAATGTAATCTGATTAATTGATACAGAAGTGTCTGCTCAATGACTAAATATAATGCAAATGCAATTTTTTGTTTTCTCTGAAAGAGCATGGGGATCTGTTTCATTGGAGAGAGAGATTTTGAGAACTTTATCCTTGAGGTATGTTTGATGCCTCTTGTATTGTTTAAAGCAATAAAACACAAGTCTCATATTCTTTCTAGTGAAAACTTTTTTATGTTAGATAAATTATTATTATTATTATACGTTTTTTAAGTGTCACACAAATTGTATTGTTGACTGGATTTATCAGGCTTAACAGTATTGATCAAAACCTCAACCCTGTTACCAAGGTTATTGTAAGAAAAAAAACAACACTTTTTTTTCCCTTTAATTTTTATGAAATATTTGTTCAGCAATAACAAACCAACATTTGTCCCTAAACTATCTATCCCTACCTATATTTGCAACCCTGTTACCTATTCTGACATTTTATTTATATTTTTTAAATAATTTGAAATTCATTTTATTTAACATTTATTTGTATTTAATATTTATTCCTAGAAAACTCGATATTCAGATATATAAACTTTATTCAAACATAGCCCACATTTTGGTAACAGGGTTGCAGAAATGGCAAACCTCATACAATCAACATTTCCTGCAAGTTAAAAACCTCCTTTCGCAGATAGTTTGTTGAAAGACTTTGTACTGTATTTTGGTCATTGCCATTATTGAATATATACTGCAGTCCCTTAATTTAGTACTATTTCATGTCTGTGTCAAATTTATTACAGTACATAGAGCGCAAACCAGGAAGTTTTGTCTCCATTGACGATGGGAAGATCATGGGGCAGCATAAAGGTGGATATTAATTTAATAATTGTTCATGTTCTCTTCCATATTGTCTGTGATACTGTATGACTAACATTACTGTATTTCGCCACAGGATGGTTCACATTAACACTGGGTCAGAGGGCTAGAATAGGAGGGCAGGTAGATCCTTGGTTTGTAGTTGATAAAGATATCACAACCGGTGATGTATTTGTGGTGAGTTACATTATTTATTTTGCTAAAAAAGGCCACAAATAACTTTTATTTCGATTTTATTTCGACACAGTTCGATTGATTTGTAAAATATGGTATCTCTTGCAGGGTCCAACCACTAACCATCCAGGACTGTTCCGAGACACATTACAGACAGAACGCTTCCACTGGATAGACGAAGAGCCACCCGTTGAACTTGTCCGCACTCAGATGATGGAATGTCACTTGCGTTTCAATAACCGGATGCCTTTAAGTGAGCTGCTTTCCATTTGTTTTCCATTTTAACTGGAAATTGTTAGAAAACAGGTCAGTTGACAAAAGTTACATAAGTAACAACCAGCAGCCAATATTTTTCTCTGTTTTGCCTACAGCAGTGTTATTTCAGAATTATTTATATATATATTATAATATTTTATAACAAATTTGAATAAGCTTTTATTTTTCTATTTTCTTTTTAATTTTAGTTTAAGTATTAGTAATTTTATATGCTTTTGTCATTTTCGTTCAGTTTTATAATATTTTTTTTATTTCAGTTTTAATAGTTTTAGTACTTAAACTTATTTGATTTCATTTAGTTGTCAAAATATTCATGTTTTAAGCATAATATTTATTTTGTAATATTTTAAGAGAAATCATTTTGAATAGTTTTATTTAATAATAATTTAATAGTTTTATTTTCAGTTTTAGTTAACAATAACAAGACTACAAGTCTACAAAATTGTTCTGATGTAAACAGTCCTAATATCAACATCTCATTTCTTTTCAGCTCCATGCACTGTAACCTTGAATCTAGATGGGTCAGTGTGGGTAATGTTGAAAGAGCCAATAAGAGCACTGACACCTGGACAGGTAATCCAGAGATATCTACACCGCTGCAGAATGTATCTGAATGTTTAACTAAATTCTTGTTGTCATTATAAATCATTTACTAGGTCAGATACCTCATACTCCCATCTTCTATCACTATGACATATTCTCTATAAATAATGGACCGTAGTCCTTTTTTTGTTTTCTGTTCAACAAATATGATGACATACATTATAAGTGGTATTATAAAACAAAAAAGTTCAGATTGTACATTTAGAGCAGCGTTCAATCTTGCTAGGTTGATTGGCAACTGTAAACAGCCTACAGTTAGACTAATGAACTGTATTACAGTTAGGGTGTGGCCGATAGACGATGCCATCGTCCATCGCCGATGGCTGACAGACATCACGATGTTAAGCTGATGTCGTGATTCTACTTACCACACATTTGACAAGATTAGATGTTTGTCATTGGTGCTCAGGATCTGCAAATTATTCACCATCCTTCATGTCCTATCAGACATTTCTCCTTACTCTGTGTATGTGGTAAGTGAACTTTCATGTACTGTAATGCAACAGGCTACCGCTAGCAAACGGCTAACCTTTTAGTGGCTCCGTATAAGGCGTTATTTGTTTCACGCTTCGGACATCCAACGACAGATAGAAGAGGGCTGGGCATTTTGGAAATAGTATTTTTTAAATTCAAACCTGACTCCATTGTCTTTGCTTTGCAGTTTGCTGTCCTATACAAGGGAGATGAATGTTTGGGCAGTGGGAAGATCATTCGTCTGGGACCCACAATATTCACTCTTCAGAAAGGTCAAAACTGCATGAGCTGTCCACCTAAAGACACAAACCAACAACAACATCCAGAGCCTGTCAACTGAGACACATGCAGCACAAACCAAGCACACCTCTGATCTCTTGTGTTTTATTAAAGGAACACTCCACTTTTTTTGAAAATAGGCTAATTTTCCAACTCCCCTAGAGTTAAACAGTTGAGTTTTACCGATTTCGAATCCATTCAGCCGATCTCCGGGTCTGGCGGTAGCACTTTTAGCTGTAGCTTAGCATAGATCATTGAATCTGATTAGACCGTTAGCATCTCGCTCAAAAATGACCAAAGAGTTTCGATATTTTTC